TTAAGGAGTTATTGATACTTCAAGTGCAAAATGATGATATAAAATCTTGATAAAAATGCACTTTTAAGTACTAATCAGAGTTCAAATCATACATTGACAATACATATGCTACCTCTCATTGCCCTATGTCTTGGTGAAGACTCGCTTCCTCCTCTTTTTTGAGCCCCTAAATTTTAGATGAATTATATTTAAACTGAAATTTTTTTAAATTTGTAGTAAATATTTGATTTTTTATTTTAATTCTTTTCTACTCTGTTTATTATATATATATATATATATTTAAATATTTAAACAACTTACTAATAGGCTTACTAATATAATAAGTTTGTCAGTATATTACGAAGAGTTGTAAAAGAATTACTAAAAATACCACTGATACTATTTAAACATTAAAAAAATTCATCTATCGGTAATGTAGATATAAATCATTGATGAAATTACAAATAGACTTTTTGTCAGTGATATGTTATATTCACTAATAAAAATCCTCACAGAATGATGCCAATAATATTTTTTTATTTGGTGTGTGTTTTTTGTATGCAAATCCATCGATGATTATATTACCGATAGAATAATTAACATAACAAAAATCACCAATGATAAGTGTTCTGAAAAGCGGTAACCTTTCATGATCTAACTGATAAAACTTAAGCCAATAGAATTAATATCTAACTACCGATGAATTATTCTATTTGTAAAATGAAAAATTCTAGTAGTGAGCAACTCTTCATGTTCGAGATGACCCTATAGAAGATAAAAAAAGATTTTGAGCAAAATTCTTAACCATAAAGAAATTTAAAAGAAAACAAATAGTAGTCAGAATAAGAAGGATCAAATATGATATAAAAACTAATGAGATAAAATAGTAAGGGACTTAACTAAAAAATAAAATAAAAAAAAGATAAGAAAGAGCAATTAAAAGAATGAGGATCAAAATTGGATTAACAAAATGAAATAAAATGTTGAGTAACTAATTGAAAAAAAAAACAAATCAAGAAAAAGGAAAAAAAAGCAAATAAAAAAATAAGGACTAAATCTGAATAAAAAGAAATAAAATAAAATGTTGAGGGTTAAAATTAAAAGAAAAGATAATAAACCAAAAAAAGGGGAAAAAATAATAATAAAAATGAGTACCATATTTGATATAAAAATAAAATAAAATCAAACGAAAAGAGATGAAATTAAAAAATAAATAATATAAAAAGAAATCCCAAATGAAGAAAGACCAATAAAAAAAGAAAATTATAATTGAAAGACAAATAAATAGGAGGACATCCTTATGTTACACGAATTTCAAAGAATAGAAAAAAAAAAGGAGAAAAAAAATAAATCATTGTTAAACCATTATGACTTAAGTAACACAAGCGAAAAAAATAAAAGGAGAAAAAAAATCAATCATTTTAAACCATTATGACTTAAGTAACACAAGCTGTTCTATAAGCTTCGCTTTTATTGGAAGCTTTAAGATATAAGTGTGTTTGTTTCCGTGGTTACTTCTGCATTTGAAGCAAACCAAGGAAACAAATCGTTTCGTAAAATAGAAAATGTTATTTACTGTATGTAGGACCCACCACAATTAACGTTTCAAATGCCGGTTCACCGAAAGCAACATTTATCTGTTTTTTTCTTAGCATTTGTGCAGAGTGAATTAATTCCGTCTGCTTGTTCACTTCAAGAAAAGTGTTGTAGCAACTGCATTAGTTGCGTTGAAAGATCAAGCAAATCTCCAATGAAGTTAGATGAATTTGGCAAAGATATCAACTTCCAGAAATGGATGGATATGGAGAAAAGGGTTAAGGCTTTTCAATGCAGGAAAACTCGTTTTGATTCAAAGAGATTGTCATGCATGGAGGTGGATAGTTCTGACTAGAGAATTAAGGGAGAATTGAGCACAAATGAGAGTGAGAGTGAGAGTGAAAAAAAATGATGCTTACCAGTCAACCTGTGATTTATTGCTTCGGACTGTTGAGGAGATCTTCAGTTATGCTTCTTTTAATATTCCCAACTTTCAATGGTGAAAGAAAGATCTAAACCATGGAAGAGAGAATATTGAAGTGAACAGTGCCTAGTGAATTAATTCACTTGGCACTGTTCAAGTGAAGAGTGTCTCTAACTCGTTGATTTTTTTTACTGTGTTTTACTTGAAAAAAATATTATTTAGTATTATTCAATAACACTATATAAATTAGAAGTAGATCGCATGATGATGTAATATTTGTAGAATTTGATCGTAATTTCAATTTTATTTCTAATGATATTTTATCTAATTTTGTTACACGCTCAAAAAGCTATAAAAATTGTAGTTCTTATTGGATGAATTTCATACGTGATGAAATTATAGATAAATTAATAGAACAATAAAAAATATTTGATATAAAATATTATTTATTCAATGATATAATAATTGTATTTAAATCTACAATATTTAAATTAAAAATCATCAATATTAATATATATCTTTTTTAATGATTTCATAACTTCAATTTAAAAAACATTCTTTAACCAAACACATTAAACTATTTTTTATTCGACCTTAATTTAGCCACAGTTTTAACCAAACATATATTTTTTCAAACCAACCTCAACTAAAAGTACTTTTTATAAAATAATTTTTTTCAAACCACAACCACAACAGCTACCACAATACCAAACACCCTAATAGTAGTTGAGAAATTTTAGTTATCGCATGACGTGCCAACAACTTTTTATTTATTAATATTAATATTAACATTTTTATTTTATTTATGAAAATATTAATTTTCCTCCTATCTAAATAGAGTATAATAAAAAAAGCCATACGAAAATACTAAAATATCCTTTGAACTATTCTTTAATTCTCTTGACTTCATGGAAAATGAAGTAACTGCACTATTTGTAAAAAAAAAAAAAATTATATAAAAGCTCTCTTAGCCTTTTTTTTATATATTTTATTTTTAAGGAAATATATGTAATTCTACTAATATAAATTATTAAATTCTACAATCAATTTTCAAATGACTTTAAAACCCATGAGAAATACCATTCTAGCCCCGCAAACATGCAAAACCTTTGTAAGAAAAAAGCAAAATAATAATGACATTACGTAAATCCAAAATGAATTACATCTCATGGTCTACAGTGAAATACAAATTTTTATAATATAATCATGTCATGAGCTACTGTTATTGGGAGTGGGGATTTTGGGCTTAGCTTAATAATAAGAAAACGTATTTTGACTAAATGAATATTTTGGGTATGTTAAACATATAAAAATTTCTGTATATGCATTTAAAATTTGGACACTTGATCATAACTATGTTTTTGTATTCTAAAATTCAAAATCTTGCAAGTTGATCACTTGAATATGTTCTTGTTTTCACATCCTTATCCGAATTCGATCAACGTAAATATATACTCTATGACCTGATCCTACTGTGCTTATTGCAAAAATCATTTATTCCGTCTCAAGAACTGATTATGAGAGAAGGATAAGCATGTCCGTTCCTTTTATAATCATCTTCAAGAAGTCTAGTTTGGCAGCCATTGTTCTCCTCGATGCTCTTGCAAAAAATCAGGAGAGAATTTCTGCGATATGATGAAACACCTAAGGGAATTCCCATTCTCATGTCTTCCTCATAAGAATGTGTGTGTGTGTGTGTGTGTATTTCAATACACGTTCTAATACCTTTGTCATGGAAAGCACCTTGCAACGTTAGGATTGTTTAATTAGTATATGTTTAGTAATGCCGTGCAGATGTTTTTGTGAAGATTTATGTGTTTTTTTTTTAATGATTTTAATGTCGTTTACATTAAAATCATTCAAAAATAACTTGACTTTTTTTAGTAGAAACACAATTTGAAAACACTTAGAATGCAATCCAAGTGCATACAAAAGCTGCAGAGGAGGAAGAAAGGAAGGTGAATATTCAAGTTGATTCAGGTTATGATGTTACTGCTTAATAATCCAAAAACAAGAAAAAAAGTCATGCTGTTGCCAGCAGGACTTTCTATTACAAAACAAAGAGAGAAAACCTGAAGACCACTTGTTCGTGAAAAGATTGAATGCTCAAGAGAATTTGGACCAAAGACAGTTGAGCGGATTCTTGAATTGAAAATGGTACAAAACGAAAGCCTTCTTTAATTTCAGTTTAATGGATCGCATGAGGCATAAGGAATTCTTGGTAAAGGAACAACTTGGCTAGGTTTTTCTTCATCTATTCTTTCCCTTACTCTTACCATCGAGACATTTGGGATCATCCCCTTCACCTGATCAGCTCAGAAGCTATGAGTTTAGAACTTTAGGCTTGTAAATTAAGTTGTTCATACGCCAGAAAAACAAAGCAACATGCATTTATCATCAAGAGAAGCAAGCAAGTTTTGAGCATTAATTTGGATAAATTAAGATGAAATTAAGTATTATAAGACTCAATATGCTTCCTTCTTGCATCAGATTCATTCGAAGTTCAGCAATGGTTTACATTAGAAATAGTTATAGCCTGCCTGGAAACAATAAAGGACATTATACCAAAAAAAAAAAAAAGTAGTTGAAGATAGCTTAAATTCAAGCAATATGTATGTAATATACTAAAGGTAATATATTAAAACCTGAAGACGACGGAAATGCATGAGAACCTGGAGAGGAGGAAGGAAATTCAAAAACTACACTGTAGGTTCTAATGTAGCTCAATGATCAGACCTTGTTGAAGAAAAAGGAAACCTATTCCCCATCCTTCATGATGTAGGGCATGTTCAGGTCAAAGCTTAATCTACAAGCACTAGCCCGAGTAACTGGAAGGATGGAAATTCAAAAACTACAAAGTAGGTTCAAATGTAGCTCCATGATCAGACCTTGTTGAAGAAAAAAGAAACCTATTCCCCATCCTTCATGATGTAGGGCATGTTCAGGTCGAAGCTTAATCTACAAGCACTGGCCCGAGTAACTGGAAGGAAGGAAATTCAAATACTACAAAGGAGGTGCAAATGTAGCTCAATGATCAGACCTGGTTGAAGACAAAAGAAATCTATTGTCCATCCTCCATGATGTAGGGCATGTTCAGGTCGAAGCTTAATCTACAAGCACTGGCCCGAGTAGGTTCTCCAGCTTGATTGGCTTCTCCAGATGATTCTGTATTAGAAGTATTTTGACTTGCTTCTCCTAGTAAAGCTACTTCATGTGTTGGAGTAGCTTTAACTGGCCCTTTCCAGTGGCATCTCTTATGACCTCCCAGTGCCTGCCCGGTGGGGAATGTCTTATGGCATATATCACATTGGAAGAAGTAAATCCCCATTGGGACTGAGCCCTCCTCTTCAATTTCTTCTGACTGTTTAACTTCCGTGGAAGAAAGAACATGGCCTTTCACATCCATGTTGGAGTTATAATCCAACTGTTCAGCGCTATCTGCACTGGCAAGGCCTGGTGGTACATGACCTGGAGCATAAAATGTTGGAAACGCTTTATCATAACTGCGGCATCCAATCTTATATGATCCAGTGCCTTTTGAAGTTTCAGAATCATTCAACTTGCACATCCAGTTCATCATCATCATCTTCTTCTTCTTTTTCTTTTTGGTGATCATACTGTGAGATTCATCATCCTGTTCATCTGACTCCCTCTTCGTCTTGCCTTTCTCTTCATTAAACCAACACGAAACTCCCCCTTCACTGTCGAAAGCTACCGCCTTTTGATCATCCATTGGTTTGCCGCTGTTTTTTGGTTGAAAAGATTTGTAAGTTGCTGATTCGTCATTAATCTTTAGCTTCTTGCTTTGTCGAATTTCCTCAATCTTCTGCTTCTCTAATTGGCCAGTACCATCGCGAGATAGTTCTATCAGATTACAAGCAGCCACAACTTTGTCCAGATCACACACAGACTCAAATGGATCTAAGGTCCGCCCTCGCTTATCTCTCTTGTTCCAACTTGAGAGGGATGCGAGTAGATCAACACCATCATCTAAACCTTTTTCCATAGCTAAATCAATCTGATCAACCTCTAATCCAGCTGCAGATTCAGAAAGACTAGAGGAGCTACTGTGTTTGTCAGAAAATGAAGGCGGCTGAGTCCCCTTCCAGCCTCTATCAGGATGGAATCTCATATGGCCAAACAGAGAATTCATCGAAGGAAAAACTTTTCCACACAAACAACAGGTTGGTTTTCCTCCACTAGCCACACTCACATCACCAGCTTTGATGGTATTACATCTACTAGCGTTACTCTTTGACAATTTCAATTCATGCTTCTTCATCTTTTCACGCTGGATCTTGGTAAGCTCTAATTTTTTAGCTTTCTTGAGATCTTTATCGTTCTTGAGATGGTGTCTCTTATGCCCTCCCCACGCTTTCCCTGATGAAAATTCTTTACCACAATATTCACACACCCGATAACCAGGTCCATGTAGGTCAGCCCCTGAACCTCCACGATCATCCCCGCTAGGTTTACCGCTGTTAGCTATTTTAATCTTGAAACAAAATTTCGATTTCGAAGCTAAGGGATCTAATGGTTGTGATGCAACAGGTTTACCTGCAGTAACCTTGGCAGGATAGTGATCCCCTTGGAAAAACTCTCGTTCATGGTCATCCATGAGAGACTTGAAAGACAAGCAGAAAAGAAAAAAAGAAAAAGAAAAAAGAAAAAAGAAGACTGCAGCACAAGCTAGCTAGGGTTCTAGGAAAAGGTGCTAAAGAAAAATCGGTATAGTGATAGGTAAGTAGGGAAAGATAAGAGAGATTTTGCCGTATAAGATGCTACATTCAGGGAAAGAAGAAAGAAATAAGGCCTTGGATTGGATAGAAGAAACCATTTTGCGAAGATATCTCACAAATTTTAGGTGGCATTAATTCAGAATTTATTAGATTCACATAAATATTCATTGCCTTTGATTCTTCAATGAGAAATCCTTTTTGGTAACCTCTCACTACTACAACTCTTCGCTTCAATTTCCATTTTACACTCTTTTTATTGATATGCATGTACATCATATATTATAATTATAAAACTCGACTCGATTCGGCATCGTAAATTGATTGATTAGAACTTGGCTAATCAAATACATGAATTAATCAAAGTTAAAAAAAAAAAATTATTGGTCGATAATAAGCTAAATCTCAACATGTTGATTTTATTATTATTTTTAAATTAAAATTATATTATTTTAATTTTTTTTAAAAGATATTTTAAGATTGACTATCTCAACTCATAATCTAAACCTTACATGGGTTGAGTTTTACAAACATATAGAGTACAAAATTATAAAATAAATTACAAACAATAAATTGAAGTAAAATCATTATATATACAATATTAGAGGATTTATTTTTGATGAAATAATGAGAGTGATAAATTTTGCTAAACCACCATCCCTATCCATCCGAGGATATAGGATGTGATGTTAAGTATCCGAAAATAAAATTAAAATGGGCCATTATTTTTTGGTTTGGGAACTTAACAACTCATCATAACTTTTCTAATTTTTTTTATAATAATTTATAAATATCCATACTTTGTTTAGAAGAATTTTCCTATTTTAATTTAAAGTAACCTTAATTTGTGTTTATACCGAATAGGAAAATAGAAAAACGAAAGAGAACCTATGTTTTGAAATCATGATAAAAGAAACCCTTATTTTAGTGCAAGAAAAAAAACCTTATTCTTTTCATATTAATAATTAAAGAAATAACATTTTTTTTCCTATTTTTCTAGGTTGCCGGGTTAATAGAATCAAAATCTCTATCTATTCTTTATTTCTTAAATTTTGTTATTTTATGCAAATTTCCAATTATAAAGTCATAAGCGTTTGTTTCCTAAAAAGCAATTTTCTTTTTGGATGTTCATTTCCTTTAAGACCTAACTCTTATTTCATGAGTTTACAAAAATGCTTTGGACTTTTTCATTGATGAAAAATCTTTCCCTTTTTTTATCTTTAATTTTCAACCCATGTATTCCAATTTTCAGTATTTTTCAATGTAAAATCATAAAACACATTTCATTAATTGAATCTTCAAAAAAAAAAAAACCTAATTCGAAACCTAAAAGGTGTTCAAATATTTTGTTCTTCTCATCTAGACAAAAAAAAAAAAAAAACCCTACCACACACCCAAGACAACAAAGAGAAGGAGAAAGATACAGCCTTTTATTTTCATTAAAGTACATGGTGTTTGAATAGATTAGACAAAATTTGGTATTTGAATAAATGTTGATGAAGGCTGTTTATATGACGAGAGAGAAAAAAATCATTAAAAAATGGAAGACCAAGGACAACTTTAAACTTGTTCTACGAAAATCTAGTCACAAATACAGCGAATTCGAACATGAACAAATTTCGTTGTGTTTAGTTAATGTCTCCTAATATATAAAATAGATAGATATATAAGGGAAATTAAGAAACGTGTATTGTTAAAGAAATAAGTAATAAATATAAATTAAATTTATAATTATTTTAGAATAAATTTCTATATTTTTAAACCAAAACCCCCGTGGATCTTGTATTTTTTTTTTATATATATTCTAGATACAATGAACTATTAATTAAATCAAAACTTTCACAAGTAAAATAGGAACCTAAAAAGTAACCCAGGTTCTTAGAACTTCAATTTTAATTTGATCTCAATTCAAAGCATTTTGTTTAAAAAAACTACAATATTCTCTTGTAACCTAGAAAAATAAGACAGAATTTGAATACCCATGAAGAAAACCCTAAAATATTCAAGCCAAGCTTTAACTTCAAGAATCAGGTAAGATAAAAAAAAATAATAATAATAACAAGCGAAAGGAGGTCGATGAATCAGATCTGGCTCTTCTCATGTTTGCAAAGAAATTATCTTCTTGAATTCAACCATCTAAGTCCCTAAATTCAAACAAAGAAGCTGAAATTAAAACAAATTATTCTTTAACAATTGTGATAAATAAAAAATATATAATAAAAAAATTAGAGTGAAGAAGAAGGCATAAAACATGTAACAACAAAAAAGAAAATGCGTTGTGTCAATGTTGTAACCGATTTGCAACTCAACACATTTTGGTCACAAAAGATGACTGGCAACCAAAATTGGTGACTGCACCTTCATCTCCCTCCCTCCCTCCCCCTCACATCCTCATGCACATACCCACAAAAACTAGTCTTTCCGGTGGAGCTTCCAATGTTGCTGCCTCCTCTTGCTGTCTAGCTTCACCTTGCATCAATTCCCATTTGTCCACAGCCTCTATCAACTTTTCTAGCATTGACAGCCACCTCCGGGCAGCTATTTTGGTAGGGATACCAGACTCAAAATATTATTTACGCATAGAATGATCATAAATTATGGAAGATATACCAAACTATTGATATATTGAGCTTTAACTTGTGTTTTAGTTTAATTTATATAAATTTTTAGTTGAAGTTTATTAATTTAGATTTATTTGTTGAGTTTGATTTAATTATTATTGGGTATTTTATTTAGTGGGCTATAAGTCCAATCACTTGTTCTAGTTAAGGTTTTAGTATTTATATCCTACTTTTCTAAATGTTAGATTTTTTAATGATTAATAAAAATATTGCAGACTTTGCATATCTCTAATCCCCTTTCTTCTTTTCTTTAGCTTTTTTCTTTCTCTAAAGCTTCTTTCTTTTCCCGTTTTAATTCTAATTATTTATTGTCTCGCATCAAATTTGATATCAGAGCTAGGGTTTTAAATATTCTTACAATTAAACGATCCACATGTTTATGCTAAACTCTAGATTTGTTTTGAAAAAAAAAAAAGTCTTATTGTTCTGATTAAAAAAATAGAAACAGTGTTCATTTTCTCCACCAGCAAATAGCCACCACAATCAACATTTTTCACTGTTCATCATCAACTATAGTAATCAATAGTGGTAGGCACCCCTGACATCAGCGGCACCTTGGCCAACCACAGCAGCATAAGATCTTTGTCAGCGATGGCGCATCAATTAGTTTCACCCTCTCCCTGTCATTGGCAAATCAAGCATCCAGCCACCACTCCGCACCACAAGAAACTCATAGAGCCATACAGAGTTGTTATCTCCATAATAGATCTATCTTTAGCAACCCAAATCAACATTACAAGCACCAACCACAGCTACCCATAAACCCATCACATCTAGCACTGACTAGTGGTTCACCTTAGTAAAGACAGTGTCTCAGCCAATGTCATCATTTTCAGTGCTAGCAACAGATCTTTAGTTGCCATCATCCATAGTGTCATCGCTCTCAACCATTAGAACAAATAGAGTAGTAAAACCAGTTGGTTGCAACCATTACCTTCAACAGACTGTAGTTGTCCTTGCCTTCAGCAGTCACACGCACCGCTAGCAACAACAGAAAGGAGACTCGATAACCCCAAACACTCAACAACAACAAAAGATGTTGGAGACAAAATTAATTAACCCATGCCACATCACTAGCCATGTTAGCCTATTGATGCCACACCAACCACGTCATCTTAGCATACCACACAAGTCAGTGCCACATCATTTAGTGAGCCACGTCCTCTCCACATCTAACAAGATACAGCTTCTACCATCTCAGTAACTATGTCATCAATTTCTACCACCTCAATTGACACATCATCAATAACTGTTATCATACCCATCATATCAACAGACAAGTCACCCAGTTTTTCACTTTAGCAACAACAAGCTTACTCCTAGCAATATCTAGTTAGTCTATCATTTTTTATTTTAATTTGTTAAATTTTACTTTTTCTGGTTTTACAGTTGTCATTTAAATTTGATATTAATACTACTTTTATGCCTTTAAAAAAATATCTCACCTTGTATTTTTTAAGTGTTAATTCTTGGTAGTCGTCAACTTCCTGTTTGTTAATTGTGAGTTCTTACTTATGATATTCTATTTGATTAATCATTTACACTTAAAGGTCTAGTATTATAAGCTTATAATTTTCCTAAGATAATTTGTTCTTGATTAATCTTTAAAAAAAAAAAACAAAATAGGATTAGCTTTATTTTTGTATTGTTATTTTACATATAAGAACCATGTATGATCTCAATTCTATTTATAAGTTAGTGTTGCATGCATTTGTGTCATGGTCTTCTAATATCCAAGCTTAAGTTTACACTTATTGTAGACCCAACTCTTAGTGATACTCTTATGACCATTTAAAGGGAACTGCAAACTTAGATGATTAACATGTTTAAAAGAATTGAGCCCTAAGAGAATTTTTTAATAAGGCACTCAAAGACCAATAAATATCACAAAAATAACTATTATGGATAACTTCACTCTGAGCGCAACTAGTTTGACTATCATTTAGGTTACTCTAAACACAATGACTTTGGTGAGCAAGTCTTAAGCCATAACAAAATAGAAGCCCTAACTTTTGATGGTCATCATAATCCTTGGATCTTTGATATATGGATTCGTGACATGGATCAATTCTTTGAGTAGCATAACTTGTCTGATAATAAAAAAGTTAGATTTGCTAAAATGATGCTCATTGGTTAAGCTAAAATTTATTTAAAGATGTTGAGGATTGTTTAGAGATGAGAGGTCAATCTCTTATAACTGATTGGATCAAAATGAAAAAAAAAAACCTTCATAAAAAGTACCTATCCTAAGCTTATGAAAT